CGTTCTTCTCTCTATAATTGATTCAATGCTTCACCAGTATTCTTTTCTCTCTCTCTCTTCTCTTCTTTGTTACACAAGGAATTTAAAGCAGCTACAATATTTTGTTTGAAGTAGAACAAAGAGATTGAAGTTGATTTGATCAAAGTATGTCATTCCAAAGCTAGTGCAGTAGGTATTTATACTTCTCGAGGCCATCAAGTCTTGTACATCTTTTGAGAGATTGCTAACCCAAGGGAGTTATATTCAGACGGATTCGTAGATTGATTCTTTCCAAGATTGATTCTTCTGCTAACTTGTCTTGACTCGCGAGCTTGAGTGATTGCTTCCTTAAATGAGAGAATATTCTCGTTTCCAAATCCCTTGATTGATGCCTTCGATTGACTTCATTATGTGGGAGAATCTTTAGCGGATGATTTCGTGCCCATAATCTCATTTGAATTTGATCCTTCCTATAATAACTTTTTAATTGATTTTGCCATCTTCTTTGGTTGATTTGTCCGCTTCTCTTTTCTTTTTCAGTGGATTTATTTTCTCCATTTTATTGCTCAGAATCTTTTCCTGCACATAGGGAGTAATTGGTTATTTTGCATACCGTTGTATACCGTATGATGTACTTGTAAGTTGAAAACATAGCACAAAACACAGAAACATGGAATACATAGAACCACAGGTAGTCTTAAGCTTGCTTACTATTTCTCCCCTTTGTCATCAACAAAAACAAAATAAAAGCAGGGAAATAAAAAGTATTTATCCTAAGAGTACACCTCATAACTGAAACATCAGTCGCAAAAACAAAGCAAAAAGAAAATGGTCTTAAACAACCAAACATCAGCTACGCTGTAAGTAGCTAAGGGTGTTGCAAACTGCCACCTTGAGGCGATCAAAGCTAGAATTCAATGTGACAAAGACTCCATCAATTCTATCGTGCATCTCTTTGAAGGACCTTAATGCTTTTTCTGCAGTCTTGAGAATCTGCACTCGAATCTTGGACACGTCGGACCGTGTCTCCTTTGACATTCTTGATGACAGGCGATATTTCATTGATGGAGACAAACTTTTCTGAGAGGTTAGAATCACTTGTACTAAGGTGAGACACAAGTACTTTTGCCTTGGAATCAGAGGGGACATTCTTGGTTTCACCTTCTTGTTTCTTGACCCCGACACCCTTTACAGAAATATAACTTATGCTAGCAAATCCCCTGGAATTGTAAGACTTGGTGACATTGATGTAGGGATGGTCAACAAGGGATATGTTGTTAGCTTCTAATATATGGGTGATAACCATACCATAAGGAAGACTTGTGGGATCGTCGGCACTTTCTATCATGAAATTGATGACCCAAAAGGACAACTTGACCTTGTGCTTGGTTAGAAGGCAGTAAACTAAGAAGATATCACGCTGGGAGAAGGTAGAGAAGGATCCTGTTCTTGGAAGAAGAGTGGTTGCTACAATATGTGCTAAGACACGAGTTTCAAAGAAAATATCACAAAGTCCTAGTTGATTAGGGAGAGAGTTAGAGGGTGATTCAGTTATACACCTTTTAGCTTGATCAAAAGAGATTTCAAAATCCTCAGGACATGTATTCTTAAAGAGCATAGAAAAACCAGAACAACTACATTGAAAAATAGTATCAAACAGAGCACAGTCCAGAACAATGCGTTTGTCAAGAACCAAAGTTTCTAATTTATCAGGTTTGCTATAGTGCAGATTAGCATAAAACATTCTAACAAGGGGTTCATATACCATTGGAGGAGGCAAGGAGAGAAAATTTTTCCAACCCTGAAAGTTAAAAATTTCTTTCACTTTGCAATTGAGGATGTCCATGACATTTAAGTCGACAACTCTGCTATGAGCGATGGGCTTGTTTATTAAATCAATGAAGGCATCCCTGTTTGGAGTATCCCAGAAATTTAGGTCAGACTCAAGAGAACTGGAAAGATCAGTTTTGGGCTCTTTGGAAGTGAAGGTTTCAGGAAGGTCTGCCATGGGCCGTTTTCCTAGGGCCTTCTCGTTTAGGGTCGTTTTCTTGCACATAGGGAGTAATTGGTTATTTTGCAGGAGTAATTTATTATTTTGCATCATTGAAATTTACTGAGATCTAACAAGTATACTTAGGTAATATTAACCTTCATTTCATGTTATGTATGTATAGGGGGAGATCGGTTTATGGTATATTAAAAATATTATTTTAGTTTTACCATCCTTTTCACATAATATCTATAAAATATAAAGTAGGAGATTGGCACTACTAGAAATCCGGTAAAAATCGACCAAAAAAACCGACCAACTTTGGTCGGTAATGGCCAATAACCGTCCAAAACGCGATCATTTATGTGTGGACGGTATTTTAGGGGTCGGAAAGGCATACCGACCAAAGTTGGTCAGAAATTACCGACCAACTTTGGCCGGTCAATTAAATTCAAAAAAGAAAATATTGCAAAAAAAAAAAAACGACCAAAGTTGGTCGGTTTTTAATTATGTAATCAAAAGATTCACCATCTGAAAATCGAATCGCGGTCTGTACTGTGGCAGGATATTGTTCTACTACTAGACCATTTGTGCATTTTGTTTTAAGACTGTCTTTTATTTGATTTATACTCTTTAATTGTATTTTCGCACGAAAATAACCGACCAAAGTTGGTCGGTTTTATTAAAAAATAAAATTACCGACCAAAGTTGGTCGCTTTTTAAAAATGACCGACCGAATTAACAGACCAAAATATTAATTTTTATTTATTTTAATTGAAAAACCGACCAAAGTTGGTCGGTTTCTTGAAAAATAAATTTCGCGGGACTCAAAAATAGTTTCCCGTATTTTTGCGCCAAAGAAAACAGACCAAAGTTGGTCGATTTCGTAAAAAATAATTAAAAAATAAAATATTTTGAAAAACCGACCAACTTTGGTCGGTTTTTTGGCCGATTTTTTGACCGACCAATGTTGGTCGATCGATATTGGTCGGGTTTTACCGAATTTCTAGTAATGTGATAAATATAATATATACATCTTTGTATGGTCATCTTTTTCCATTCAAATTATAACTAACCATAGGAGATCATTTGATTTCATATACTCAATTCACAGGATAATTAACCTCAACTCAATGGAGAAGGAATGTGTTAACAAAGGAATGGTCTCTTTCTAATTTTTCCTCAAAAGTCAAAACTAGATGGTCTACATGTCAGACTTTTCTTTTGATGCAAGTGCCGGAGGATAAGTATATTCGCTTAAACAATTCAAAAGACATGAGTTGGATCGGAAACTAATCTAATTTGTGGCCTATATTCGAGTATAACAATCTCCAGATATTTACATAGTAAATTAAAAATTTTAAAACCTCGAAAATATCTCGAATAAAATAATGAAATATAAAAAGGATATGTTTGGAAACTAAAGCCGGTTTTGAATATCGTTGTCACTACCTATGTAGCCAAAGCTCGGCTATTCATATTCCAAGTTGAATCTTAACCACTATGTTTAATTTTTTTTTTTGTTAGTCGCGGAATCTAAATGAAGTTTATTGCTCTTAAATATTATTTTTTAAGATTTAATTTATGTGAACCTATTTTTTTTTTGATCCTTTCAAAAAAGAATGATTATTTTTTAAATTTGAAAATAATTTTGTTTAAACTTATAATTCTATCCTTAATGAGAAACTTTTATAATCACACAAATACTCTGGACCCCTTTTTGAATTGTTTAGCACTACAAATTTCAAAAGTCTTCATTTTTTCTTACACTCAGTCCTCAGTCAAACATGTTCACATAAATTAGAACGGAAGGAGTATCATTTTGGCATAAATTAATTTAATTCCTGGGCATACAATTAAATATATGCTTAATATAACTTTTAATACGAAAATAGAATTTATGTAAAATCTATTGGATTCGTTCGACTCGGAGTTAATATTACACCTCCGCTCCTGCTCCTTTCGGATGAGGTGCTGACCACCATTTTAGTCAAGACATTACGTGCACCAACTTAAGTTACTGAAAATAATAGGTAACTGTTTATAAGAAACATAATTTGATACTTAAAATTTTTAAGTTAAAATTATTACTTATGATAATAAATTAAATTATATTTAAACAATTACAACAAAAGGTGGCAATCAGAACCAAGGAAATGTGCTGCTTGTTCTAAAAGTAGAGGTGAACAGGCAGTTGAAACTAGTGATGAAACCAACAACTCCTTAACAAAACCACTCATGCATTTCTTGTGGAACTCTAGAGGCAGAGAGCTAGGCCCCATCATCCTATTCAGTTTTTGTGGATGCAATGCTTGTATCCATTTAAATACTACTACTTCATAGACAGTATACCCCACAAGTGCATGCGACTTTAGAGTTTAGACTGAATTAAGAGGGCACTAATGCTTATTAATTCTCATTTATTGGACCCGATTAATTGTTGCAACGTCCGATAAATTAATATCTATCCGATTCCATTCTTAGTATTGAACGTAAAATTTCTAGTTAAAAATGGAGGAATATTTACTATCAAACAACAATCTTTAGCGATACTAATGCTTATTCCTTCCAATTCTAAAATATGTTAGGTCGATTAAACTATCCTTTTTATATTTTATCAAAGTTTTGATCAAAACAAATTGTATGAAAACCCTTAAAAATGTTAAAGACCTTATTGCAAATTATCCATTACATTTTTTGGTAATGATTATCTATTACTTTTGATATACAACACACATAAGAAAAACTAGAAAGTACGTCAGAATCGTTTAGTATAATGGTGGAATATCATATGGGTTAGTTATTTATTTTTTTATATAAAATAACTAATCTCATCATTTTAGTATAAAGTTATCTATGAATTAGCTAATACCTCAAATTAAATATAAAATAAAATTAATTTTAAAATTATTATCTTTATCTCAAGTACCAAATGATCCCTAATAAACAAAAGAAACTGCTCGTTCTGATCCTTTATAAAGATTATTATCTTAAAATGCTTAGAAACCTTGAAATTTTCTTGAAATACATGGAAAAGGAAGGCAGCTAACTGTGCCAGGTATTCCTTAACATTATCCAAATTAAACTACACAAAGTAAAAAGTACATTTGTCAAACCGTCTAAAGATTGAGTAGAATAAATCAAATCTTATCCTAATCATATTACGAAATTCACCGACTACAAGATTTGGATAAGTAAAAGTAGAAATGACTTTCTGTAATTACAAGTCAAGAAAAAAAATAGAAATGACGTGGTGGTGTTAGCCCAACAGAAGCGTCAAATCAGTGGTTAATCGGGCGGCTACGAAGCCCCTGATCATTCCAGATCAACGCCTACAGTATTCTCGTTGAGTCTATCGATCTCGGCGATTACTGCACTGGATTTCTTCTCACGCCGATTAATTCTCCCGATAAATTCCATCATCCCCGAACATCCAGTAGTTTCAACCCGACCCGTCAAGCTCCCTTCAGTTCTCTGGATCTTCAAAGGCTTTCGCATCCTCGTTGAGGACGCCGCCGCCGCTTCGTCGCCGTCACGCTTCTCGTTGAGTCTATCGATCTCGGCGATTACTGCACTGGATTTCTTCTCACGCCGATTAATTCTCCCGATAAATTCCATCATCCCCGAACATCCAGTAGTTTCAACCCGACCCGTCAAGCTCCCTTCAGTTCTCTGGATCTTCAAAGGCTTTCGCATCCTCGTTGAGGACGCCGCCGCCGCTTCGTCGCCGTCACGCTTCTCGTTGAGTCTATCGATCTCGGCGATTACTGCACTGGATTTCTTCTCACGCCGATTAATTCTCCCGATAAATTCCATCATCCCCGAACATCCAGTAGTTTCAACCCGACCCGTCAAGCTCCCTTCAGTTCTCTGGATCTTCAAAGGCTTTCGCATCCTCGTTGAGGACGCCGCCGCCGCTTCGTCGCCGTCACGCTTCTCCGACGGCGGCAGTTCACCAACTTCCCGATGAGATGTTGAAGTTCCACTATCATCCTATTATCATAAAAAGGACCAATTATTTAGGATTTAATGCCATAAATTATAAGAAACAAAGAGGAAATTACTCTCTTTCTAATTTATCTCACAACATTTTTTAGTCTGTTTCAAAATATGATACTAATTTTTAATATTTTAAAATTATTTAATTTTTTTTAATTAAAGCAAGAGTTAAAATTAAAGTACATACATTATCTTCACGCCTTCGCTTCAAAGAAGAATATTTATGGCTATTCAACGACTCGTCGCTGCTGGATGAACTAGCCGGCGGCGGGGTAGGAGTTGATGACCACGGAACAACCTGAATATCCTCCAAATCAATCTCCTCCGCATCTTCACCTTCTTCACCATTTCTTTCAACGTTCACGCACCGCTCACACACAGAGATTGTCCGGCCAACCTTCGCTCCGGCGGCCGACCAAGCCGTCGGCGATTGGCATACGTGGCACAACAACGACCTCGAGTGCCTCGCTACCAGAAAATTCGCAGAGTGTACCTTCGCATCACAATCCCAACACAAATTCGCCTGGTCCGATTCGCAGTAAATCCTGGCAAATCCATTGCAAAGCTCACAATTTGTCATCGTTAACAGTTTCTTGAAACTTCTCTAAACTGAAAAAAAAAAAAGTTCTTTCTCAGAGAAAATATAGAAGGAATTATAGGGCAAGAATTTCGAAGTACTAATCTGTTTGGAAAATGCGAAAATCGAGAGCAGTGAATGTGAGAAAAAGAGGAATCAACTTGCAGTGGGAGATGAAGCAACCTCAATTTTGAATTAAATCCCAAAATTACCACGGTACTTTTGATTTAAGGTGAAGGGTATTAATGTAATCTCGAATAAAAGAATACAAAAATTGACAAACCGTAAGAGCTGTTTCCTTTGGTTCAAACAGGATATTTTTTGGTTTGGGTGGATGACGTGGCAGAATGGGTTTTGAAGAAGAATCTGATTTGCTGACGTGGATTCATTTGGAACTAGTTTAAATGGCTGCGGGCCACGTGAAATGCGCCTGAATCAAGCAACTAATGGTTGGTGTGTTTGTTGGGCCCACGAGCATCATTGGCTGAATAATCTGCCCGTTGAGAAAAAGATTAAGATAATGCAAATATGTTTGGGGATGGGGTGTGATGGCACGAGAATCTCTCCCACATATTTTAGTTCAAGAATGAAAAATAAAAGATTATTTATTTATATTATATTAAAAGATGAGTAATTAAGTTTGAGGTTAAGCAAATTAGAGAAAAAGTTAATTGACTCTTTTAAGACAAAATCTAACTCGGACAACAGATGTCATTTGAAGTAAATATTATCTTGGCTTTATTAATTCATTAAATTTTAAAATATTTACATGTATGTTAAATTCTAACATTAATAAGTTATTAAATTTTGACCAAAAAAATTGAAAATTGATAACATCAAACTAAATTTTATCAATTTATTGGTGATTACGAATATTAAATTACATTCATTAAATTTTAAAATATTTACATGTATGTTAAATTCTAACATTAATAAGTTATTAAATTTTGACCAAAAAAATTGAAAATTGATAACATCAAACTAAATTTTATCAATTTATTGGTGATTACGAATATTAAATTACATTCATTAAATTTTAAAATATTTACATGTATGTTAAATTCTAACATTAATAAGTTATTAAATTTTGACCAAAAAAATTGAAAATTGATAACATCAAACTAAATTTTATCAATTTATTGGTGATTACGAATATTAAATTACATTCATTAAATTTTAAAATATTTACATGTATGTTAAATTCTAACATTAATAAGTTATTAAATTTTGACCAAAAAAATTGAAAATTGATAACATCAAACTAAATTTTATCAATTTATTGGTGATTACGAATATTAAATTACATAATAGTTCTTTAAATGAAAACTCATAAAAAAATATTATTCTTAAGATATTATAAGCCATTAAAATGTGCCGACAGTAATGAAGCCTATGACATTAACAAAATAGTAAAAGATTAATTTATTTAAATAAATATTGTTAGTTTTTTTAATTTATTTTAGATTGAAATAGAAATCATGTGGTTAGAGTTAATGAAGTGATAAAAATATTTATTACTATATAGTAATAAACGCTACTTGTCCAAACATTTTAAATTAATTAACGCTCTGCAAGAAACAATTTAAACCCAAGAGGCGAAAAGAATGTGATTTATTAGATTGGCATCTTTAGCCGCGTCAACTAGGGTGGGCATCGTACCGGCCGAACAATGAATTTTGATTTTTCGGTTTCGATTTAATCGGTTTTTCGGTCGGTGCACGATTTTTAGATTATTAATTTTCGGTTTTTCGGTGCGGTTTACGATTTTAGTATTTCGGTTTAACCAAAATTTTGGGTATTAGTTATTACCCATTTTAGGCTGAAGCCCAATATCTATTTGAACTTTGAAGCCCAATTTAGTTTACCCAAGCCCAAACTTATTGATAGTCTGTCTAATACCCAAAGTCCAAATATATCGGTTACAACTGACTAATACACATTACACTTAGTCACTTCCCATTTCCCATTTCCCAAACCTAAATAAAGAATTAGATTTAGGGTTCTCAAACCTACATCAATTGAAAAGTTCGCCTCTTCGGTTCTTCCTTCTTCCTGTGCGACTACTGCGACTGCGACTGTTGCGACTCGTCGTCGCTGACTGCTGCGACTTCTTTTGAGTTCCTGTGAGTTCTGCACCTTCTTCCTCAGCTCAACTGTGATGCCTTCTTCCTCAGCTCGTCGCTCATCCTTCATCCTCAGGTTAGTGCGAGTTCTTCTGAGTTATGAAGAAAGAAAATGTCTTAATCTTTTGTGTATGTTGACTTTCAATTAGTCTCACTGTTAGTCTTTTGTTTATGTTGATATTTAATTTGTCTCACTGTTATTCTTTTGTGTATGAAGAAAGAAAATGTCTCACTGTCTTAGTCTTTCACTTCAGTATATTTCAAAATCAGGTCTAACGTATGGACAACTTTACTTTAGTATTACGCACCACAATTTCTCTCAAAATTTCAAAAAGTAATCAAGTACACCAATAAAATAATAAGGTACTTGGATGTTTCTGCCAAAGGAGGTTTATGGCCAATCGAGAAAGCAAAGAATTTGCTTTACATACCACTATAATAAATAAGTATTGTAAATAAACTCTAAAGTTAAAAGAGAAAGGTGCTTGGATGTTTCTGCCAAATGAGGTTTCTAGGTAGATGGTCAACCTAAAAAGCAAAGGATTTGCTTTACATACCACTACAATAAATAAGTAATGTAAATAAACTCTAAAGTTAAAAGAGAAAGGTACATATTAAACATGTTTCCACTTATGAACATAGAAAAATTAGTATCTACGCATAATCGTTTGATAAATGTTTGAACAACTGGTAAGTTTAAAGATTTGCTTGTTTTATGATATTATTTTGTTATTTATAATTAAAAATATTTTATTAACTTGTGAAATTTTCTAATTTTTCTTTGTAGGTTCAACTATGTCTCGTGGTCCTAAAGCTAGATCGTCTATTTGGGAACATTTTGAGCTAGTTAAAGTAAATGAAGAAGCCCGCAAAGCAAAGTGCCTTCATTGTGTCATCCAAAGTATTATGGCACTTATGGCTTAGTGAAGCATATTAAGAAGTGTCTCATGCCTCATCCAGTGATTCGTATTTAAGGCTTTAAGTATCATTTTCTAGACTTACTTTGTGGCTTGTGGCTTGTGACTAGTTTACCACTGTTTTATTATTTGGTGATGGTATTTCTAGACTTATTTTGGACTTTGGTAGCTGCTAGATTTGCCACTGTGTTAAACTATTTTGGACTAGTTTGCCACTGCTGAAATGTGCGGTATTTTGCTACTTAGGTGTTCTGTTTGCACTTATGCCACTGAAGGCCTCTCTGCTCTCTGTGTGCTTGTTCTCTATAGTCTATTCTCGGTTTTATTTAAATTGTAGTTTCAAATTAGAGTGTTATTGTCAGCAAAACTTATGTTAGACTGCCGTCTGCCACTGTCTTTCTCTCTTGCTGGGCTGGACGAACAGCAACTAAATGATAATTTGCTGGGCTGTCTTTCTCAAAAGTCAAAATGACAATTTGCTGTTGGGCTGGACGAAAAGCAAATAAATTTCAGCCTTGTTTATTGATGCTCCTACAAACCGTAAATACTTGTTGTTCCTACAACCGTTTAAAATCGAAAAAATAAATCGAAAATAACCGAACCGAACTTTGAAAAAATCGCACCAAACCGTAAAAACTTTGGTTTGATTTGGTTATTAATATTACAAACCGAAAATCGATAAATCGAACCGTACTTTTATAATAACCGACCGAATCGACTGACGCCCACCCCTAGCGTCAACTCAACCATATTAACAAACTGATGTCTGACCGTCACACTTTTGTAACAAAATAAACGCATAAATGCCCTGACATTTGGCAAATATACAAATTTGGTATTCTCCAAGAAACGTCACATTATTTGTGTAAAAGAGATTTTAAAAAGCACGCTTAGCCTTAAAATGAGTAACAATTAGATTTCTACGCGGTTAAAAAAAATGTGATTTAATTTAACATGATTAATTTATGAACATAAATTAATTAAAGTAAAGGGAAGTAAAATAATCAAACTAAACGTGATGAACAATCAAGACTGGCCTTTAGAAGAACACCAAAAATTGACCCCGGTCGAGCCCTCGAGACTGGCTCGGTTGTAACCGAATAATTAAGAAGCTGAAGAGCACAATGAATAGTAGTTAGAGAATGAAAATGGACTTTTATTGCTTTGATATGCGTGCCAATAATGGTTTAAATTAAAAAATTCTCTCATTTATATAGTAGGGGAGTTTCAATCCTAGTACAAGTCTAAATAAGGTAAAAATCATCTTTTTCGATAAATATTGATCTACAGTTGATATCGGGTGGGATTTGCACCGCAATATCCGGTTGAGGGCGGATACTATGACTCTCCGTTTATCGTGCTTAACCATTTTCTCTTTTTCTTTAGTCTCGAACCTTCACTCTGCTCGGACTCGATGATCACCCATGTCCGATCCCAGATGTACCGTTCGTCCTCCCCCGGCTCCGAAACGAGGAACCCTCCGGCTTTACTCGAGATTGCGTCAGACCATGCTTCCCTCTCGTTTCTTTACCGTGAAATCGGGGGTAACATTATATCCGATTTTACCCGTACACAGATAGTCCCCTCATTTTTTGAAGAGCAAATTTATTGAAGCGACGAGAAGTGATTAATTGACCTTGGTTCCTTCATCCATATGCTACAATTGGATCGATGAGTCAGTGAAACGTCCTATCAGTCATGTCATTCTGACTTCGGACACGTGTCAGCCGCCGGTTGACCGTCCTCGAATACGAAACGTCACGCATTAATTACCTCTATTAAATTTAAAATTTTAATAATGTTCAATAATCTAAAAAAAAGCATTGACTAATGACATCTCATTGTGTGCATATTTGGAGAGCAACAACATTGATGAAAGGAAAGAAGATCATACTCAACGACTATCTATTTTGAACTTTGCATCAAATAGAAAAAGAATCAATCTATCAAAGAACAAAGAAGGAAGGTCAATCAATTAGCCTTGCCAAAGATCCTCAAGCATGCAAGAACGGAAAGAGAACTAATCACGGCTAGAGACCAAATCAAGAACAACCTGCGGAAGCTCTAATCAAGGAGAAATGGAGGAACCAATTCGTCAAGATTAAGGACGAATCTAGTTACCCTTTCAAGCTAGATTCATGAGG